GAGGTGGGCATCACCCTGGAAGATCTGCAGAGTTTGAGAGAGGTGGGCATCACCCTGGAGGATCTGGAGTTGAACCTTTTTCACCTCAGTGAAAAGTGCCTAAAGAATCGTACTGAGAAGCACTGATCACCTGCTAGAAGATAACTAGTTAAAACACTACCCAGTCGTCCCATAGGAACAGCCACACCTGAACTAATGTGGCTATGGCCATAATAAACAAGAGAAGATAGTTGTGGCCAGGATGGAGAGTGGAAAAATCTATCGCTTTCTCCTGTGAACTGCTAGGGAGAGAAGAGAAGCAAGCATAGCACTCAAATGTTCAGCTAGGTGAATTTTGAAGTGCTCAGTACAGCAGACAGATATGACAGTGGTCCCAGGAAAGGCTAGGCCTGGTAGCAGGAACCTGTAATCTCAGCACGCAGGTGACAAGCAGGAGGAGGATTGCACGTTAGTGGCCAGTCGCAGGACCGTAGTGCAGGAAGAGGGACTAGAGACACAGAGACTCGGGAAAGGGAGAAGAGGGGGAAGGAAAAGGTCTGTCGTGAGAGGTGCAATATTCTGTTCTGATTTAAAGGAGAGTAGAAAAGCACAGTGGGGTGTGGGATGCTCCTGGTAAGACCCCAGGCTGCGATGCTCTGGACGAGAGCTGGCAAGAACTGACTGCTTCCACTTGTGCTGAATCTAAAAAACGGACTCCGCCTTCTCTCATCACCTGCCCCTGGTGTGCCAGCCCTTCTCCCCTGGTCCTTACCTGCTTCCACTTCCATCAGGTCGAGTTCCAGATGGCCCGAGAGGAGAACTGCCGCTTAACTGTAGAGCTGCAGGAGGCCAAGGGCCGGCAAGAAGAGCAAGGTGCTCAGGTGCAGCAGCTGAAGGAGAAGGTGGCCCACTTGAAGGGCTCCCTGGCTCAAGCCCAGCAGAGAGTGGTGAGTGATGGGAAGAGTGAGAGTTCCAGAGTAGTCTAGACACGTTTGGTGTCCAGAGAGAAGAGGCAGACATAGCTAAGGTAAACAACACAGGAAGGATCTGATCTCTGACCTTTTTCTCTGGAGGCCGAGCTAGAACCCCTGAAGGAGCAACTTCGAGGGGTCCAGGAACTTGCAGCCTCAAGCCAACAGAAAGCCGCCCTTCTTGGGGAAGAGTTGGCCAGCGCAGCGGGAGCCAGGGACCGCACCATAGCTGAGCTGCACCGCAGTCGACTGGAAGTGGCTGAAGTCAGTGGCCGACTGGCTGAGCTCAGCCTGCACATGAAGGAGGAAAAGTGCCAGTGGAGCAAGGAGCGGACAGGGCTGCTGCAGAATATGGAGGTAGAGGGTGATCCTTCCCTACCTCAGGAACTCTGACCGGTAGTCAGGTGCTCTGGGAGGAAGGGAGAGAAGGGGAGACCCTTGAAGGACTTGAGGGGAGGTACTCTTTGATTTCCAGGCATGAGCCAGCCCTAACAGGGAATCCCAGTCTTGATCACCAAAATACCTTCCCTAGTGACCGTCCTTGGTGTAGAAACATTCACTGTCATGGGCACCGGGCCCTGTCATAGTGCCCACTCCTGTAGCACAGAGCCTTCCTGCTTCAGTGAGGAGCAGAAGTGAGGAGCTTGCTCAGACAGTTTTGTCCCCCAAACATAGAAGAAAGGGACCCAGTGAGGGCAGTGTTATTTCCTGACATCACTTGCCGCTTCACACCTCCCTCCCATTGTCCTTTGTTCCATCTCTAGGCTGAGAAGGATAAGGTCCTGAAGCTGAGCGCAGAGATCCTCCGACTGGAGAAGACCGTGCAGGAGGAGAGGAGCCAGAGCCATGTATTCAAGACTGAACTGGCCAGAGAAAAGGATTCTAGCCTGGTGAGATGCCCTGTCAGCTTGGAGTCAGACCCTTGTCCTGATGGATTAGTGCCCCTTTCACGGTCTCTTGGCTCTGAAGTACTATAATGACTTGCAGCCCTCAGGGTTTGAGTGTGCACATTCCCTTTCTGCTCACAGAGTGCACTTCTGGTCCTGGAGGGATAACACAGGAGAGTTGTGGGGTGACTTCTGGAATTACCAATGCCTCTTCACCCAGCCTCAGACAGTTACCTGGGGCCACATTTGAGAGGTAGAATCTAGGACTTTAGCCTGAGCCCTGGGAACCAAGACAGGGGCCTTGTGGAAGAAGTGCTTTGTGTGTGGAACAAGAGAGAACCTAGTTGAAGTTTTGGACCAGGTTCTTGGTGGCACATTGCAGGCTCCAGGCTCCATGACCCTTTTCCCTCAGGTGCAGCTGTCAGAGAGTAAGCGAGAGCTGACAGAGCTGCGCTCAGCCCTTCGTGTGCTCCAGAAGGAAAAGGAGCAGCTGCAGGCAGAGAAACAGGTAAGACTCGTGTGCAGTTCAAGTCATGGATGCCAAAGCCAAGGGCCAGGGGACTTCTGTATCATCTTGGCAATCTCTTGGCTCAGAAACCGGAATCTCTTTGAGGATGCAAAGGCTAAAAAGGGGCACCGACTCCTCTTAGGAGCTAACTTTGTGTAGGGGAGGAACACCAGAAGGGATCAAGGTGCAGGGTAGAGGAGAGCTCCCAATTAAGGGGATCTGCCTTGTGCAACTCCACCCCATGGTGAAAGCATCTATGGTGTCGTCTGGGAGCATGGAAAGCTCAGGAGGCTGCAGGCTTCAGCAGCTGCCTGTTTGCTGCCACTCAGGAGCTGCTAGAGTACATGAGGAAGCTGGAGGCGCGGCTGGAGAAGGTGGCAGATGAGAAGTGGGATGAAGATGCCGCCACCGAGGATGAGGAGGCCACTGCTGGGCTGAGTCTGTCCCCAATCTGTGACACCTCTTCCCCTTGCCCCCTCTTTGAGGAAGCAGCCTAGCCTTCCCTTTCCATTCCCAGGGCCCTCTGCAGTTGAACTGTCCCTCCTCAGATTCCTATGGCTGACATTTCTTCTCTATCTGCCTTCCCTCCCATAGACGGCCCTGCAGCTCTGTCAGACTCAGAGGATGAGTCCCCAGAGGACATGAGGCTCCCTTCCTATGGCTTGTGTGAGCGTGGAAATCCAGGCTCTTCCCCTCCTGGGCTCCGGGAGGCCTCTTCCCTTGTTGTCATCAACCAGCCAGCACCCATTGCTCCCCACCTCTCAGGGCCAGGGGAGGACAGCAGCTCTGACTCAGTGAGTAGTGAGAGCTCACAGGCACCGTAGTAAGCAGGCAGGAGAGTCCCACGTGAGCCAGGGCAGAAAGCCTGCACCACACAGCCCTCTTCCTCTGGACTGAAGGAGGCAGACCTGGCCTCTCTTCAACACTACTAACAGGGCTAGGCTTGGTGGTTCAGACCTTCAGACCAGCACTTGGAGAGAGTTCAAGGTCAGCCTGGGCTACTTAACTCTAGGCCAACCAAGATCGCATAGTGAAATCTTCTCTTTAAAAAAGAAAAAAAAAAAAAGGCTACTAACAGAATTAACAGAATCACCCAAAACCCAGGCCAGCTCACCAGCTGAATAACCTCAGTGTTTTCAGCCCCAGCCCTGGCAAAACCCCGTTCCTGCCTCAGTCTTCCTTCCACCCTCTGTCCAGCACCAGCCTTGGCTTCTCTACCCTTACCCACCCCAGAGTGTCACTTCCCTGCCTCAGAGCACCACCCAAATCCAGTGCTGTCTCTGTGGTTCCAGGAGGCTGAAGATGAGAAGTCAGTCCTCATGGCGGCTGTGCAGAGTGGGGGTGAGGAGGCCAATCTTCTGCTTCCTGAACTCAGCAGTGCCTTCTGTGACGTGGCCAGGTGAGGGCAGCACAAGGAGGGAAGAGGTCAGGTGTGACAGTCACCGGGCTCTGTCCCCAAACTCCCCTTCTTGGCTCAACCAAGAAGAGACGGTACCATTGTGGTTGACCGAAATGTCAGCCACCTCCACAAATCCCAGGTGCTTCATGTTCTCTCTCCCTGCCTTTTGCCTGGTTCTGTGCTGTTGTATAGTCATCTTCTGTGGAGCCCAAATTCCTGCCCCTACCCCTTCCCCAACCACCAGGTAGGTACCTAGGTCTTCGGGAAGAAAGAAAGTGACCAAAGCCTCCGAGATGGAGAGCATCTGTCTGGCTGTGCTCTGACTTCCTGGGAGACTGGGAGGGGATCTGGGGTAGGGATGTCGTCAGGTATCAGGCGGTGCCTTCTGCCTGGCTCTCCAGTCCTAGTGAGGCAGGCAGGGCCTTAGGGAAGAGCATTATCACCTGGCTTGGGGCAGAAAGGACCTATGCTGTCACCTCTCTCTGCCGGAGCAGGAGATGAAGAATAGTGTCAGCCTCATTTTCAGCCTCATTAGGCAGCAGACGGAGATGGAGGGAGGAGAGCAGGAGGATGGGGGATGGGTTCTGTACTACAGACACCAGCAGGGACTCATGAAGAGAGGACATGGCCATCTAAAGAACTAAGGCGTCCAGTATCGTGGGCAGAAAAATGCTGTAGGAGAGGCTTGAGCAGAGAGTGACCAGGATGGCACATTGGGAACAAGAAACATGGATTTTGTTCCCTGAGGTCTCCAGGTCAAGAAGGCCCCAGAAGTTGGGAGGAAAGGGAGAAGAATAAGGCGCTCAGGGGTCACCCTCTGCTTCAGGATAAGCTTGAGCCCAATATTAAAGATAACAGCGAAAGCACTGGGACTGCCTGACCCTCTCAGTTTTCCTCATCTCTCTCCAGTGGCTTTGCAGTGGGTTCCCTGACGGACGTCAGCACTGGGGTGTCAGCCACCCCTCCCTGGAAGGAATGTCCTGTTTGTAAGGAGCACTTCCCTCCTGAGAGTGGCAAGGACGCCCTGGAGGACCACATGGACGGACATTTCTTTCTCAGCACCCAGGACCCCTTCACCTTTGAGTGATTTCACCCCTCCCTAGTATGTAGACACACTCACGCACACACAAATCTGAGCTCATGCCCATTTTCCATCACTCTGGGCTCTGTAATATTCTGTTCCTACAAACCATGCCTGCATCCTGCTTCTATCCCAGGCTTTATAACTCCATCTTCTATCCTGACTCCTCTGTCCCCGGCAGGGATCTGTCTTGGGAGCAGTGGCTGAGTTTACTCCCTGAAAACAGTTTAGAGGAACCAAGATGGAGGGGCTTTTCCCTGTGGGAACAGAATTATCCATTGCTAGCCCAAGTACACAGCTACACACACACACACACACACACTCTCTCTCTCTCTCTCTCTCTCTCTCTCTCTCTCTCTCTCTCTCTTCTGATGCCTGAAAGCCAACTCCTGGGGTACCCCACCCCCTCTTATTCAGAGTTTGTTTGTTTACTCAAGTTTTCTCTGGGGCCTGCATGGAGGCAGCAGCATGAGCTCATGGGGTCTTTTCACACCTGTCCAGCCCCTCCCGTAGCTGTAGGTCATAAGTTTGGAAGTTTCTTTTGTATTTTTAAGGATTCCTGTACCTTCTCATACCACCCGATATCCAAGTCCTCATATGGAAAATAAAATGTATTTGTGCCTTTTGTGAGGGATGGGGGGACAAAGGGTCCCAGGTACCCCCATCTCCCAGCCCTCTCCAGGCCCCCTCAGCAATAAGAACCCCTCTCCCTTAAACTGCCCTCTTATCTGTAACTTGGACAAATATATTTATATGATACGTGTTACTGCTGTCATACAGTGTGTTCTTGTCAAGAGGCATTATTAAAAAAAAGAGGGGCCTCAAGTTCCTAGACACTGGTGGGAGGGAGTGAAATGATAGACAGGTACCTTCTTACTGGGCCCTCAGGTGTGGTAGCCACCTGAGGCCACAAGGGAAGAAAAGAACCTGTATCTCAGTGGGGTCTGGGAAGGGACACGCAGGAGAAGGCCAGGTTTCTGCTGCTCATGCCTGCACCCTCTGTGGTCACCTTTGTTACACCCTGGGCCGATAGGTGTTACTCCTATCAAGTGCACACCTTCAAGTTCTGTCTAGTGAGGTCTGCCCTAAGCTGCAAAGTGTCAAGAATTTAGCATCCCTACCCACCTTGTTATGCATCTTCACATACCCCCAACAAACATCCACAGCACCATAAAACATAAACTAAGGCCCTGCCAGACACACCTGCAGCTCCCTTGCTCTGTCCCCAAAAGCACCCTTCTCAGCACCTTCCATTCCCTTCAGGTCCACTCATTGGGCCACCCCCACAGTCCCTGCCTTCACCCACCCTCTTCCTCCAGCACCTGGATGACATCTTACATCCTTCCTTCTTCCCTCACATCTCTGTCTCCTAGCAACCCCATCTCATTCCCTGAAAACTTTCCAAGGAAATTGGAGATAATGGATCTCTCTCTTCTCTCCATCTCAACCTCTCTTTATTGATCCTCCTTTAATGAAAGTTAATTATAACAATGATTTAATTAATAGAACCCCTCTCTTCCTTTATTGCTTCCCGTATTAAGACTATTAATAAATACGAGCTGGGCTGACAGAGGCATCCATCACCCGCCCGGGGTTCCCCCATCCCTCCTTTTCCCCTCCCCTCTTCCCCTCCCTCCCTTGGCCTATAAACTTGCCGGGGTAGTGGGGGTTAATCAGAGAGGAATTATGAGCCAACATCCCCAGCAGGAGGTGCATTTAATGAAATCACTTGTGATTTATGTCTGGGGGAGGTTGGAAGAGAAAAATCTGGGACCTACACATTCTGGCTTCCAAGAGGTTGGTCCCCTAGAGCAAAAGGAGAAGGGAGACAGAAACCAGATCCAGACCCAGGCCGCCTGCTCCCTGCTATCCTTCCACCGTACACAACAGCCACATAGCTAACCAAACCAAGCCACTGACACATAACTGTCTCACTAGAGACAATTGTGAGGATCACACTGTGGGCTTTGTTCCTCCTCTCCCTCGCATGGGCCCTCCTCACCTTCCCTTCAGCTCTGTCCTGCTTCACCTACAGCTGCTCCACACTTCCTCCTCTATGAAGCACCCCCCGCCCCATGTGGACATCAAGCACTTCCATCCGCTCCTTCCTGTGGACCCCATGTGTGTCTTCCTGTGTGGTGTGTGTGTTTGCACTGGGACTTCTGCAGGTGTTCACATTTGCTCCTCTTCCTAACTTATACTTTACCTTCCTGTGCAAGCATCGCTTTGGAGCAGGGAGCAGTCCTGCCCCTATACATTTGTGGTGTTTGACAACTCACCCTCTCAACACCTCCATTCTGAAATGGAGGGATGAGTCCTTATCTTCCTGCTTCCCAGCTTCAGTGCAGACGCTGAGAGCTGAAGGCCCTGGAGTGAGAAGCCAGGTAAAGGGGCAGCAGAGAGGGGACTCCTGTCAGTATCTGTCATCAAAGAATGAATCCAAATGGCAGGACTTGGCTAGCTTGTCCAAGTCCTGGTCAGATCTCCCGGGAACCTTGGTGGCTGCCCCCATCTACAGGAACTTGAAGTGTGAATAGCTTAGTGTGCCAGTGCACTGAAGACCAGTGCAGGGTCTTCATTAGCTCGTCCCACCGTGCTCTTCCACCTCTCATCCTGCCTAAGGAACCTTGTGCTACAGTAGAACAGAACCATTTCACAGAAATATGCACTGTTTTTAAATGACTCAGAGCAGCTGCCTTTCTGTCCGCCGAAAGGATGCTTCAAAGCCTGCTTGACTTCTCAGTATAGTCTCTGAAAAAAGCATAGAACACATACAGCGTGCTTGTAAACCACACTGTGTCAGCTGGGCACGCCTGGAATCTCAGGAACTGGGAATTGAATAATTTCAGATTCAAGTCCAGCCCAAGATACATCATGAAATCCTGTTTCAAAGCACCACGGGCTGAGTAGGTGTGATGGCTCAGACTTGTAATCCTAGCACTCAGGAGGCTAAGTCAGGAGGATCTTTGCAAGGTCCAAGCCAGAATAACTTCAGATTGAGACCTGTCCTTAAAAGAAAAAAAAAAAAGTCAGGCAATAGTGGTGCATGTCTTTAATCCCAGGAATCTGGAGGCAGAGACAAGCAGATCTTGTCTCTGGTTGAGGCCAACCAGGATAGCCAGGAACTATCTTGAAAATAATAATAATAATAATAATAGTAGTAGTAGTAGTAGTAATAGTAATAATTAGAAGGAGGAGGAGAAAAAGCAGTGCAGACCTTACCTAGGTTGTACACACCCTAGTCATATCTCCAGAATTGCAAACAAACAGAAGCCCATTCTTTATCATGTGTACAAGGTTTTCATCCTTTTGTAAGCAACATGAAGGTAGGCTCTGAGATTATATGTCCCTGTGTCTCCTAAAGCCAATATAGGAACTGGCAGAGATTCCTTAAAAATGTTTTTCATTTCACTTTCATACACACAAAATAATATATAAAGAATAGAATGAGCAACATGAAATCACCAACCAGTTTTTTCTTTTCTGGATTTTTTTTTTTTTTTGAGAGAGAGAGATAGGATTTTTCTGTGTATCCCTGGCTGTACTGGAACTTGTTCTATAGACCAGAATGACCTCAAACTCAGAGATCCTTTTCCCTCTGTCTCCCAAGTGCTCGGATGAAAGATGCAGGGCACCACATCTGGCGAGACTTCCCTCCCTCCCTCCCTCCCTCCCTCCCTCCCTCTCTCTCTTAGAAATGTGTTTGGGTGGTTTGCCTGCATATATGTCTGAGTATGCATGCACGGTACCTGAAGAAGTCAGAAGAGAACATCAGATCCCCTAAAACTGGAGTTATAGATAGTTGTATAGCTAAAACAATGTGGGTTCTGGGAATTGAACCTGGGTCCACTGGAAGAGTAGTAAGTGCTCTTAACTGCTACAAGTTAAGTGCCATCTCTCCATCCCCCACCAACCAGCTTTAAATCACCAAATATCATTACACCATTGAAGTGCTATCAATTGCTTGACAAAAAAGCAAAACATGGAGTCAGTTACTACTGAGATGTTTCTATAAACTTAAGAAATATTGTCGAGTGTTCTTTATTAGTGAATGCAATAGTTAAAAGCATACTGTTATGCCGAGTGATGGTGCACACACCTTTAATCCAAGCACTCAGCAAGTAGAGGCAGGCAAATCTCAAGGCCAGCATAGTCCAGGACAGCCAGGGCTGCACAGAGAAATGCTATCTCTTAAAAACACAACAACAACAAATCATTAAAGAGATTGTTGTTGATGTAATCAGAAAAATACAAGAAACAAGGTAAGTGCTATTTTAGTAGCTGCGATCCAAAATTTCATCTATTTAACCAAGCCTGGGAAACACAAAGTTTCCTGTGGGTAACAAAGAGGGATCAAGTCTTGAGGGACAAGTAGATATGAGCCTGCCATGGACAGGCAGAAAGGACAAAATATACAAAGACCTAACTTTCTCTGTAATCTAGGCATAGGGAAACCTGTTGAGAGGAGCATGCTCAATGTGAAGTTGAGGCTGAACTGTTGTCTGCTGCCTTCTCATATATTCAGTCAATAAATGTTAATGTTGGATATCTAGAATGTGCCAGGTGCTGTGTTTGGCATTGGAGAAACACATGGACAAAACAGGAATACATACTTATGACATACACTCTAGTGCAAGAACATCAAGGTCCAGAGAATCTAACTAAAAACCTATTATAACAATCCAGATCAAAATTTATGTGACCTGGAGATAATTAAATATGAGAAGTGAGCAGAAAGAATCAAGGTGATGCCATGTTTCTGGTATTAAAGACCAGATAGCTTATGACGCCAGTCGCTAAATAGAAATAGAGTTGTATAAATAGAGAAAAAGATATGAGAACAAGATGGATTGGTACAATTTTGGCTCATGGGGATCCTGTTATTTGGGGAACCTTATGAAGGAGAAATTGGTCCAGTAAGCAATCGGGTGGTCATTTAAATCCTGAGGCTAAAAGAATTTGGAGTTGAAATAGAGATTAAGATCTCTAATGGGTAAAGTCAATAGGACTGAAGAAAGGTCATCCAGTCCCCTTGCATAGAATGAAGGTCAGAGAGTCAGAGACAGAGAAGATCAACATGGAAGGGAGGGGTGGAGGACGCTGAGTGATGGGGAAGATGGAAAAGGACCAGAGAGAGGTAAGAAGCTAATCAGGACAGGTAAGCCAAGGAGAGGGTCCAGCAGAAGCAGGGTCAGCACAAACGCCAGGAAAACGACTCCTGGAAGCCACTGGACTGACAGCCAGGGATCACTGATAGCAGAGACAGATGACTGCGAGGAGAGCCGGGGTGCAGTGGCTGCATAGCTGGACTCCATAGAGCCTGCAATAGACACAGAGTTCTGACCTGGAGGGATTGGGAATATCTCCAGCTCGTAAAAAATGAGGGCTGGGCCAGCAAAACAGTCCGGCAGTTTAAAGCGTTGCTGCCAAGCTGATTTTCAGGACCCACACCATTGAAAGAAAGGAACCAACTTCTGTAAGCTGTCCTCTGATGTCCACTGTGGCACCACAGCACATGCAGACACACGTGTACATGTGCAGAATAAATGAATTTTAATGTGATAAAATAAATGAGTGCCCCTGAACCAAAGTTCAAAGAAAAAACAGGAGTAGAAATCAAATTGTTTAGAACTCAACCTCAGAGATTCTCCAACCTCCTGCTAGCAGGGTGTGGAAAACATACTCATTTTCATTATTTTTGAGATAAAGACTGGCTATGTTTAGTCAGGCTAGCCTTAGACTCCTGAGCTCAGGTAATTTTCCTGCGTCAGTCTCTAATAGCTGAGAGTACAGGCACCACCAAGCCTCAAAGCTAGAATCATTAAAGTCCTGCCTTATACACTAGGGAACCCTCAGCCACGTTACTGAATGCCAGGTCTGCAACCAGTCCACACTGACATGCTGTGTGTGTAACAGATGACATGCGCCAGTCCACACTGACATGCTGTGTGTGTGACAGACATGCGCCAGTCCACACTGACATGCTGTGTGTGTGACAGATTTCAAAGACTTAATACTTAAAAAAAAATTAATGTCTCAAAACATCATACCGATTTCAAGTTGAAATGGTGCATTTTGGGAGGACACACCCTCAACCCAAAACTAATCATTCATCTATGTTGTAACGCCTGCGCCTGCATTACTCTCGGTACAGTTCGCATGCCACTGTACTGTACGCGAGCCGGGCAAGGGCCTAGAGATTGAAAGACCATACAAGAGACCTGGATCATTGGAAAGGAGATCAGCCGAATGCCGTTTATTCAAATTTAGGGAAAACCTTAAACACCTAGCGGCTGCACAATGGAAACCCCCTCCCAGGCAGGTGGGAAATTACCACACCCAAGGTGGAGTCAACAATGCCCTATAACTGATCACCAGGGGGACAGAGGGAGCACAGGAACAAGCAGGAAACACTGGCTGACCAGAGACTGTCCTCAAAATGAACCCCGGGAGCAGGGGTAGACCCATGAACCCTACACTATGTGAATCACAGCTGGAGCTGATAGACACATGTTATTCCAGATTATTTTTATCTTTTAAAAGAGGCCATTAGGTAATTTTACATTGTGTGTACGTCTAGGGTTACATTTCTACTATGCAGCACTGGGCTAAGTTCCACCGCAGAAGATGACCCTAGAGTGTGGCCATGCCTAGACTCCCTTCCCCACGTCCTCTAGTCTTGCTATCATCATCCTTCTTAGCACGGACAGTGTGTGTATGTGTGTATGCACGTGCACATGTGGTATGTATATGGCGAGGGCATGTGTATAAATGTGCCCACTGTTGTGTGCTGAGGCCCCGGAGCAGAATGCCAAGTGTCTTCATCTACCAGTCTTCTCCTTGTTGCCTTGACACAGAGTAGCTCACTAAACCAGATGCCATTTTGGTGAGGCTGGCTGACCAGTGGAGCTATCAGGATCTGCCTGTGTTCCCTCCGGCTGGGGTTCCAGGGATGTTTAACCTGCTTGGGGCTAAGAATTCAAGTTCAGGTCTTCATGTTTGCGTGGCAAACAACTCTTCCCTGAGGCTCTGGCTCCCTGAGGACTGGGATTGCAGACACAGATCACCACATCTGGTTTGGTGTAGTGCTAGAGATAAAACAAAAAACAAACAAACAAAAAAAACAAAAACAGAGTGTTTTACATGCTCAAGTATTTTTCTAATTGAGCTTTATTCTAAACCCAAAAGACTACAGTCTTGACACATCATTGAGCCACGTATCCCAACCTCACAACCGGGGCAGAGACTTCCGTCTACTATATGCTGTCTTTGGGGTTTCTATTCTAGTCCCCCAGACTTCTTTTTTGCGCTTGTTACTCGGGTGAGAGCCAAGTGTCTTAGCTCATAAAAGTGAGTTTTAGCTAACTGTGGTGGCACACATATCTAATCTCAACTGCTCAGAAATCCTCCTGTGAGGTGGGAAAATTGCAAGTAACTCTGTAAGACCTTGTATCAAAATAAAGTACAAAGGAACAGTGGTGGAGGCTGCCTAACATGTATGAGTGTCTTACACATCCCAAGTATCATGTGCTTGTACACACACACACACACACACACACACATTTTCCTAGCTTATAGCTCAGAATTGGCCCAGCAGCCCTGAATTTATGAAACAAACATATTTTCCCTGTTTCCTCCATTTCTCAGTCCCCTTTGCCCCTTTCCTTTTCATCCTTCATGAAACTAGAAATTTCCCAAACTGGCAGAAACAACGAGTTCTAGTAATGACCCAGTCTCTAAAGCCCTAGACTGTCCAGACTGCTGAGATTCTGATTCACACCCCGAACTCCCAGTGTCTCCCATAGCAGGAAGACAAATGCCCAGAGTGCACAAGGCTACATTCTTTTCGCTTGTTTGTTTTAGTTTTGTAGTTTGAGACAGTATCTCACTAAGCTGCCCAGGCTGACCAAGAGCTGACTCTGTAGCTCCAACTGACTTTACTTGAGATCATCTGGCTAGGAAGACAGACATGTGCCACCACACTCGAGTCTCAGGCTACATTCCTGTAGCTCAGATGCATCATGTGACTTTGACAAAAAATTCCTGGCTCTCAGCCCTCACCAGCAAAATGCAAACCCCGCCTCCCTGGAGAGTCACTGAGAAGATAAAAGAGGGCACACAGCTCCTTGTTGAAGAAGACCCTTTGTAATTCTGGGCTTCCCACTTCCGCCCCTTAACCCTGCAGATTGAGAGAAGTAAGGAAAGTTGCAGAGTAAATTCTACTCTGTTAAGTGGACTGGCAGAATCTCAAAACCAAAAGCTCCTCAAGACATTTTCCCAGCTTCTCATTCAGTGTAGAAATTCCTTGGACTAATCCGTCATTGGTAGTCATCCAACCTCTGTTTAAACCTCTCCAGGGGCCGTTCACTGGTTCGCTTGATAAACAAAAACAAGACTCTGTAGACACTGCAAAGAAGGGTGGACACTGATCATAAAGTTAAGGAAGCCTAAATTTTAGCAAAATCACAGAAGTAACTGTATGGTGTACATGGTGTGTGTCAGCAGAGGCCAGGCCAGGCCATGTAACAACCTTGTAAGTTATTCATGCTCAACAAAGGGAGATCTAATACCCAAATCCCTCCACATACCATCGCTATTTCCTATTCATTTCAAGGAACATGAAACAAGATGTTTCTACACTAAATCCAATTGCTCTCAAGGACATTTCTGCAGTAGCTTTAAAACCCCAGGAAGATGTGCATGGAAGAGGCTGACATCCTGGTCTATACCATGGAATGACCTTAAATACACATAAGGACCGTCCTACTGGCAATTCCTGAGCCCTCCTTGGAAAGCTTGGCACATCCCACATCCTGAGGGCTTATGCAATGCTTTCCTATCTGTGTTTTTCCTTCCATCCCTCTGTGTACCCTTCACTCTGTATCAGCATCTTTGCTTCAGACTGTCCCTCCCAGCGTTTTGGTTTCTAATATTCTTGGGGACTTTTTCTGGTTCTCTCTCTCCCTCTCATCATTCTCTGTTTTCTTGGTTGATTTCATTTTTCTGTCTCTGGCCTTGCTCTCGTCCCAGCTGCCGCAAAGCCATAAACCTACGCTGTTCTGCAGCAGGCAGCCGCCAATCACTGGGCTGGAAGAGTTGAAGGGAGGAGATCAGCAAAGAGATGGGGCGGGGGTGGGGGTAGCTAGGGCACTGTTGCTACAGCAAGGGAGGGGAGACAAGCAGAAAAGAGCAGAGAAGTGCCCCTCCCAGTAAACAGCCCAAACTGCCTACACAGCCCTTCTTTGAACCCCTTTCCTACAGAAAACAGACACCTGGCCCCCTTATTCCCTGTGACGCTGAGGGCCTGGTCCTTTTCCTCTCTCCATCAACAGGCGACTTCCCATCTAGAACCACTGACCACAGATAACTCCCTGAAGACTTGCTCCTTCATCCACAGGCACTCCAAAAATGAGGGGACGAAAAGACCTTGGAGGTTTGAGGAGCTGACATAGATGGATATTGGGACAAGAAAAAGACGGTCAAGGCTGAGTCTACCGGATGATGCCAAGACAGGTCTGAGGAAGCACTGAGAGGAGGCAAGCATCCTTAGTATCCTTAGCCAAGCCTGAACCAGGAGACTGGGGGCCATCAGGGTTTCTCTGCTCTCCGGCCACTGATAGCCAGCCCTGTTCCTGGTACCTTATCTGGGTTGCGTAGGGTGCAGTACTTGAGGGAAAACTGCTCAGCTGTTTTCTTAGAAATCTCAAGACTGGAAGGGGAAGGAGGTGGAGAAGGGGAGGGATTAACCAAAGATTTTAAAAGAGCAAAGGAGAAACATTCCTGTCCTTTTGGTGCAAGAGACAAACTCGGAAAGCAGTAATTTCTGGTGTGCCGGCGACCCCTGCCGGCTGTTTACATCACCACCATAGACCCAGAGAGGTACTGGGGCCTTCCTGAGCCCTGCTGGACAACACTTGGTTGTGACAAAGGTCTGTGACTTCATCATTGTACAGTATAATAGTGTGTGGGCACCCTGGGTGAAGACAGTAATGTGACTGAGCAGAAGACCCACGAATTTCAAGCTCTTAAACTCCCGGCTGCTCTCTAGGGGACTCTGGGTGTAAGGCAAGATCATTGAGCCCAGCCTGTCTCACCACCAATATCATGTCAACAATATAGAGCCACTCAGCCTGGCTCTGGGTCCAAGTTGTTATTAAGTAGTCCATAAAGAGAGTAAAGAACGCCTACTTCAGAATCAGACTAGGTTAAATTCTAATTGTCTGGTTCCCACCCCGATGACCTGCAAGTGACTTATGGTGTTTAAACCCAGTTTCTTCACAGCACCTAACAATACTAAGCATTTAATAAATGCTAATTTTTCTCTTCCTTTATCTACCTCCCACCCTCAAGGTCAGGCAGAGATTTCAAAAGGCAAATAAACAAGGATGATGTTGGCCGTGATGATGGTGGTGGTTTATGTTTATACCACTCGTGCAAATCATTTTCAACATGTTTTAATACAGGCTTTTTTCCTTTTTATTAGCCACGCACATCATGATCATGTTTTATTGGGATAGAAATATCCCGATGCTATGGCAGGTCCCTAGAAGAATGGCCTTATGAAGTGATAACAAGGCATGACAAATCCTCCTTTATTGTGATATTTTCATTACTCAGGTTAATCAGAAATTACCCATTAGAACAAGGACTTAAGATAAGTACATGACAGTCATCTGTGGAGATCAAAATCTCTGATTTTCCAATGGGTACCTAATTGTTATTGCCATTGTGGGGGGACGATTAATGCTTAGATTGAATCGGTCTTAAAACATTAGAATAACTCAAAGTGATATGACAGGCAGTTAGAATTAGGATATTCTGAAATTAAAGAGAAGACAGATTTCAATTCCACCGAATGATATCCTCACCCCTACAGCTGTCCAGCGACAGGGGCCGACTGGGCATGAAGTACGGAGCTGCATTTCAGCAGGAATATTGAAACGGGCTGGCTGACTCCCGGCAAGCTTACCATGACAGAGATTCGGGCTGCAGAGGGAGACTGGGTAAGAGGCCCTCTGAGGTCCCACTGCAAACACACTTGAGTGGATGATGAACACTTAGCACAGCACAAGTGCTGCTCCCAACAGTGTTATTGCCTTGGCTACCATCCTTGTTTGTCACCAATGGGGGGGGCAGTAATAACAGTGGTCTTCCCTCCTGAGATTTTCTTCCTCCCAAGAAAAGGCAAGAGTCTAGGAACACTGTGTCAAACCATCCCTGTTTGCCTTGTTTTTTTTGTTGTTTGTTTGTTTGCTTTTTTGTGTTTTTTGCAATCCTCATCTTTTACTCCATGAGATCCATCTTCAAGTGCCTTAACGAAATCCTCCCTAAGGAAAGAGCCTTGTTTATCACTTAGTGTCCTTGCAGGAGTGAGTGAGCAGTGGGAGGACTCAAACATTTGTTTAACTCCTATTAAAGGTAGGCCCTATAAATTTTGCTCTTGATTAAGAGAAGTGCGTATACGCTCCAATGCAGGTGTGTGTGTGTGTGTGTGTGTGTGAGCACTCACGCATATGTTGCATTGTGGATGCAAACGTGAGTGGGTCTGAAGACTCCGTTGCTGTCCAAGCCTTCCGAGAGGTCTTGCTATATATGTGTAGCGCTTTGGGGGGTGCAGTACCTTCCGTATGCACACAGGCTAGCCAGGAGACATTCTTCTAGTTTCTAGATGTTTGTACATTGTCCAAGGCTTCTCTGTTTCTATCTTTTATCTAGCTTTACTGTGTTGACACATCAAGATTTAGCTGCTTCCCTGTCTCCATGTATGCATCATTGCCTTTCCCTTCTCTGTCGTGCTGCATGCAGATCCATGCATCCAACCCCGTGTGAAGCCATGTATGTCCTGTAGCCTCTTCTCAAGGAAGACTGTGAAGAGCCCTTGGCACTCACCCCTGCTGGATGCCCCACTTCCCACTTTTCCATGCCAGGAGAGATCTAATTACACAGAAATTAGTACAGAGAAGGATCGTTTGCTTTTATGGCATCAGCGCCAGGGCAGCTGTAAATCTGGAGCCGCTGCTGCTGCAGCCTCTGGGCACTGTGGAGACTCTGAAGGGGCTCTCACCTCTTCACCCCCTCTCCCTCTGGGCCATTACCCCATCCAGAACCTGACAACCCTTTCAGGTGCCCATCTCAGCAAGGGACGAGGTGTGAAGATGAAGGATGTGGTGAATCGAAAGACACATAATAGGTGCTCAATAAATCATTAGAGGATGAATCCCAGCAATGGTAAGCCCTGCCCAAAAGAAGAATACTCCTACCAAAAGTCTCTAATATTTTCAGGTTCTTACCAGTCTCCCATGTTTTTGGGGGGACCCAGGTAAAGCTGGTAGGGCAGTGGCTCACCCCTACTTCTACTTTGAGGCCCTGAATTCCTTCTTCGGAAGCACTGAGTAGTGAAGACAGACAGTCCAGGTACTGATTCTTCTCTTAACTAGCCAAGTGACCTTGAACACGCCGTCCAGCCTGAGCCTTGATTTCCTCACCTGTAAAGTAGTGGTGAAAAACATCTCAGCACGTGAGACATCAACAGCAAACTCTGGACCAACGGAAAGGTGGTCCTCTATGGGCATTATCAAGGCACTGTCACTGTACTGCTGGCCAGTGTTCCATCCCTCCACTGCTACTCATGCCTCTTCCCCACAACCATTCAGTGGAGCCTTGATCACAACCAGATCCCAACTCAAGGGCCATCACACACTTTGGGACTTACACCATGTAGGCAAACTGTACCCACTCAGAAGTGAATGTTTCTTTATGTTAGAGTCTCATCGATGAAAAGAGTGAGCATGGAGGACTCTAGCAATCCCGGGCACCCGGAGGCAGGGTTTCACCCACTGCCAGCACACTCTGTGCTCTTGGTAGTGGGAGTGGCTATGTGTGCTTCTTTTCTTTATGGTATTGTGGATTGAACAAAGGAGTTCGCACAATGTAGGCAAGTGTTCTTGCTCTGAACTCCCCCCCCCTCCAGTCCCAGCAGTAGGGTACTAGAGGGTTAAATTGTAAAGGATTGAGATTATTTGAGGTTTTAGGAACTTGTGGGGGAATGGGAACTGGGGAACAGGGCCCCTTCTGGATTAACAGAATCAGAAACCAAATGCCCAGACTCCTGACTTCTTGCCAACACAGTTCCTAATCCAGAGGGCTTGGGCCTCCTTTCTCTTGTTCTTTCCTACCCTGATGTCTCCAATCCAAGGCACTTTGACGAGAAGTCCTGAAGTGACTCACATGTTGATTCTGTAAAGTTTTGAGGGCTGTGTAGGTCAGGAAAGGATAGATATGTCACTATCCCCAACGCCAGCCCACCCAGGACTTCAAGGACCATTTGAACAGCCATCCTGTGGCCACAACTGGGCAGGGGGAGCTGTCTAGAAAAAGTGGAGGCACAGCCTCTGTGTCCCTCTCACCCCGATCTCCGTCCCAGAGAGGGTGAGGATTTGCCGTGAAGGGCAGAGAGTGGGTGGAGGAAACTCTGGCCCCCCGCCTCCCGCAGCCCCCAACCCCAACTCAGGCTGCAGTCTCTCCTCGTTGTAGCAGAGCCAGAGCAAAGGGACGGGCAGTAAAGATGAATGATGGCGGGGAGACAAGCAGAAATACACCATCATGAAAATGCTAATGACTCCTTGCTCTCTTTCTTTATGGTTGGAGTAATACAGACTTCAATCATAAAAACAATCTCCCAACATTTTAATGGGCTCCATCATGCCCGCACTTGTCGGTATATTTGAAGAATAAATCACCCTCCCCGCTCGGAATGAATTCGCTGTCAAACTCGGCTCCCTCAGAGAAAATGGATGGGGAAAGAGGACGGAGATTTTTTTTTTTAAGGGGAGGGTGTCCTCTCCCGCTCTAACTCCCTCCTAAACTAGATCGTTGTGAGAACTGCCTGGATTTTGAGTAGCAAGTAGGGGACTGTTGGAATTTGAGAGAGCTGAAGTCATAGGGTGGGTTTACAGAACAGGGGCTAGTGGCAGAGGGACTCACCATGGAGATACGGAAGGATGAGGAAGAATGATAAGGGGCAGAAATGGTGACCGCACTGAAGCATATGGCAAAATACTGACACTGAACCGAGGGGAAAAGATGCCAAGAGTCTGCCCACCCACATTATTTCTTCATTATTTGATAGAATTTCTATCAGATTAGGCCCTAACTGGAGCGCAGAAGAAAAAAGGGGAGGGATGAGAGATTTCTTTTGTTGGGCAGAAGAGTTTTCGGTTCGGCTCTGGGCTTGTAGGTTTCAGGGCAGTAAGCCACAGGTCTGCATCACTGAGAAGGGCCTCAGAGTCCCGGGTAATTCTCAGTTTCCATACAGGTGGCCGTCAGCCAATGAAAACTTGGGATAGGCATACAGCGAGCAGCCAATCCCAGTTAAGGATGAGCTGACTTGGCAGGTTTAATTGCATCTTGATTGGCTGAGATGTTGCTAGGCAAAATTGAGTCCTGGAGATTGATGTGGGTCAGACTGCAGAAGCAGATGAATATGAAAATATCTGGAAACCTAGGCTCCTGGGTTGACATTTGTTTCTTCCTGAGTACTTTAAAGATTTGACAGGATCAGGAGAATGACCGTCCCTTTTCTTCTCTAGAGTGGCAGAGGCAAGCATAGCCCTCGCCCCCTCAAAAAAAAAAGCCTTCATTAAAATCTGGCTATTTGGAGGGCCTTCTAAACTCGACAGATCCACAGGGAACTTCACTTTGATCTGCCTTAAGCTTATTTGCAAGCCTTTGAGCTGTAATTTAGGCCCAACTTTCTCAAATATGCTCAGAAACTGAAAAAAATCATGCCCCACATTCACCTCCACGCCTCTCAGATCTCCTTGTCACTCAGCCAAAACCCCTGCGAGGGGTCCGATTCTCACCCCAAGGTATGAGAAGTGGTAGTCCCCAGTCAGCAGCTTCTGAGCCTTCATTTGCATCTGGTTTGCATAAACCGTCCTTCCCTCCCACTCTGGACCAAGTTCACGGGCTCTCCCCGCCGCGGCATCTCCGCGCCCACCCTGCGCGCCCCCGGCTGCAGCGCCCCCTGCCGGCAATAGGGCCCAGCGCGCTGCGGTGATCCCGAGCTGCAGCCTCTCGGGGAATCGAGGGGACCGTGGCGAGGGGCGGAGGCGGCCGCCCGGCACCACGAACCCGCGGGTCTGACCGAGACCGTGCACGAACAATATGCCACCATTTAAGTCTGAACGCGCGCCAGCCGCCGATTGTGATGTTAATTCGGCGATGATTTAGGGGGGTGGGACGGAGCGGGGCGGCTGTCTTTCTGTCAAAGTGCTGTCCCGGACCTTAATATTAGTAATTGAAGCTGATGAGGACTCCGTCTCTGTTTCTACTGATAAAAAAAAAAAAAAAAAAAAGACAGGGAGGGAAAAAGAGCAACTAAATTATAGGGCTGGGAGAAAACCATGATTAATCAAAGGTTTGAACTGTCGCCGTGCTCGAGGCCCAGTAAATCTCGCCGGCCGGGGTGTGTGTGGAGGCCGGAGGATAAATCTGAGCCTCGTGGAGTTTGCTGCCCCTTTCTGTTTGCCTCCCGAGTTGCACGTCAATTAATTCGATAATTGGATTTAAAGAGATGTCAGATTATCCAGGGCTGCGGGAGGAACTGTTGCCGAGGGTCTGCGATGGACAGCGGAGGCGAGCGCCGGAGTCAGACTGTGGAGGGACCGAGAGCCAGGCAGGGCTATCGGGATCGTTTACCGAGCTCGCCTGTACTCAGCTCTGCATCAGCCCCTGAAAGGTGGCAGCCAGAGCCCAACGTCCTAGGTATCCAAACAAATGCATTTGTATGTAAATGAAGGGCCTCTGTTTCTCCAAGCTCCTGTGAACCCCTGGTTCACCCCATCTGTTCTCTGATATTTTTCTCAAAATATTGGGAGATCCTAGGAAGACAGGGATTAAGCCCTCTCTGGATCTGCACCTCCACTGGTGGAATCTTTCATTCACTTTGCTCACAGACACTTATATCCTAACCTGTAACCAAAGTTTAAGGGAAATGCCTTCAAAAGCACTCTGACCCTGACTGCTAGTCACCAGGCCCTATCTACAGCCTGACAAGCAGAAGCCACTGGAATGGAGTCCTTCTGCAACTTTGGGTGGATCCCACCCCCCTCCCCGCAAAAAGACTGGACTTGTCTCCCAGAAGGGGAGTAAACTTGTTTCAATAGTGGGGAGTATGGCACTGTCAGGGAGACCTGAGATGAAATCAGCCTACTACTACTCCTCTGTGTGTGTGTGTGTGTGTGTGTGTGTGTGTGTGAGAGAGAGAGAGAGAGAGAGAGAGAGAGAGAGAGACAGAGAGAGAGAGAGAGAGAGAGAGAGACAAAAGAGAGAGGGGGGGAGGGAGGGAGAGGGGAGATGGTCTGGGTTAGATTATGCTATCCCCTATGGTGGTGGGGATAGGGAAGGAAAGGGTAGAAACATACAAGCCAATCAGGAAAACATTTCTGAAAAAAAAAAAAAGACGATGAAATTGAAGGCTCAAGAAGGTGGTGAAGGTAAAGCTCACAGACTGCCTGGCCAGGCTGCCTGCAGTAAAGGCATTCTAGGGGGACCGGCCCCTGCAGGACCTTGTAGGACCCAGTATACAGAAGTGGTTAGCCTTGACCCTTGAAACTCAAGCAAGGGAGATATGGGAGCTGTCAAGTAGCGATATGAACAGTATGGCAAGCCAGGTTTTGTTTATGCCGCCAATTTAAAACCTGACTGATGCCAGCCAACTCTACACACTTGTTCAGATAATGATCCTTTGTCTGCCTGAGTGGGAGGCAATATTCTCCCTATGAAGGTACAGTGCAGAGGGTTTAGGAAGCGTTGTTTCTATATGGAGGCTTCCTCCAGGAAGCTCCTTTTCTGCTCTTTCTTGTGACCTGCTCTCAGTTTCCCGAAGATGTCAATTAAAAAGAAATTAAGCCCACCACCTGTCTTCCAGTCATAGCCCTGTTTTGATTATGTGCTTTCTGAATAGACTTTTGGTGGCAAGCATTCTGCATGCCAGGAAATGCTTTCATGTAAAACCGGTAGGAGGTGAAGCTGCAGGCAGAAGTCTGGGCCCACGTGAGCTCAGCCTGCAGCTTTCTCCATTCTTGCCTCCGGGAAGCCTTGCATGAAATCTCAGCCTGTGTACATTGCTCTGCAAAAAAAAGAACACCCATCTTATGAAAGGCACAGGAGGTGCCCCTGACGCCACTGGGGCATGAAAGAGGAGACTTAAGGGATCCTCACTGAGGTTGGTGGAGGGAGCACTGGCCCCAAACTCAGAGGAGCTGGCTTCAATTCCTGTATTACCCTCTGTAATCAGAGGGGGCTGAAGATCAGAAAGTTGAAATGACGTCTACATATCACATAGTGATGAATGGTACAGCCCCTTGAAGACCTTTATCCTCCACTCTCCCCGACTATCGGTAGCCAGCATAAAATAGAATCTGATCCTGCCTCCACTTCCTAGCTTTCTCTCAGTTTCTTCTGTAATGTATTGGTAGCAATA